GTCTACCTGTGGAAGACCCTCTCCCCCCACACAAACGTTCTTTGAATTTCATGGGAATGAAGCATCCATGACCATTTTATTCACTGGACCACTGAAATATCACCAAAAAAAGGGTGAGCTTCAAAAGTTCCCCCCAAAAAAGTCCTCCAAACACTAGAAAATGCTCACAACCTGGCTTCATTTGATTGTTTTCCCCTGGTGTTCCACCCAAATGTAATCTGCAGCTTTGCTAAAATGGGCATTGTACGTGTTACGCTTTCATTCTGCTCCAAGCCCACACAGGAGGCATGGGGCTTAAATCACATTGATTGTTGATGAAAGGCCATGTAGTGATTTGGCCTGCTAACACCTTTGTCTATAGAAGAGAGAAAGCCAACTGGCTCTAAGCCCTTCAATGTATCTTAGCCAACTCTGCTTTTTTTTTAAAAAAAAATTCACAGTTTTAATTCCATTTTGCATTCATTGAACATTATTTGACTCTAGGGTCTTTAAGGCCTTCGAACCGGGGGACTAAAATGGTCTGCAACTGTGGGAGATTTAGGGAGGGTCAGGCTAATAGGTGGCAAAAAAAGAGAAGGAGAAACAGAAAAGAAACCAAAAGGAAATCAGATTTATTTGCATTTCACTCAGGAAAAAAAAGGAAGAAAAGGAAGAAATACAACTTGCCCCAGAAAGTCTTACATTTCTGGGGAGTGGATGTGTTTAGTACAAATAAATGGGTAAAATGGCAATAGATCAAAAATAGCACAAACTCACAGAAATGCCAGTGGGTTTTTGAGAAAGACAGTGATACCCAGATTTTTTGGGGGTGGGGGGAATAGCATCCTTAAAAGAGAGGCACGTATTGGCCAAGTGCGCATGAGGGAGCAAGTAAAAAGGTTCCCATAAGTGGGGCAGGTTTTGAAGGATTAAACACCCAAGTCCACCCCTTCACAGTAGAACTGAGGGGGGAAAAATCTGCTCTTTGCCTCACGAATGCCTCAGAAACTCACTGCATATCCACTTGGAGAAGAAGTCCCACTACGGTGGGTGGGGCTTTCGTCTGAGAAAATCTGGAGCCTGTGAAAATTAATTAATTGGAATTAAGCCCACAATGAATCCCATTTCTATACCCATTGATGTGGTGAAATGCTCCTTAGAATGCAAGCGGACTGATTTTTGGGTAGCGACGTGTAAGAGGGTCTCTTACTTCCAGTCCTACTGATTTCAGCGGGAGCTAAGATAATTCACTTTGCCTCGGATCCAGCCTGGAGTGTTTGTCCCCTCAAAGTTGCATTTATCTTCACAGGCCACAAAAAGGAAGAGCTGCCAGCCACTGATAGACAGAGAAAACTTCACTAACTTTTCAGGTTCCATCCGGTCCAAACTGGTAAAGGAATTTCCTCAGAAACAACTGGCGACAGGAAGGGATACCAAGCTGCGGGACTCGCTGTCAAGTCGGACTTTAGTCACACCAGAGATTTGACTTGGAATCAACTTGGTTTTTTTCCCCTCAAAGATTCAGACTCGACTCATAATCTACCCACCCCTCCCTTTTTTTCTGGGGAAAAAGCTTGTTTTTAATAGGGACTTGAGACTTGGGACTTGAGTACCAAAGACTCGGACTTGGGACTCAGATGCAAAGACTTGCCAATACCCCTGCCCACAGGGGAACTGAAACCAAACTGGGCTTTCAGTTCCACAACTGAGGTAAAGATAAAGAACCATATGAGGGAAAAGCAAGCATCTTGAAGCAGGGACAGCTAGTGAACTGAATAGGGAACTAGCTTTAAAATGGCTGCCCCCTCTCTCAACAGCACTTTGTTAATACACCGGGGGCAGGTATACAAGTCACCCTCTTCTCTACTCTGCTGAAACGGACTGCTCCCCCCAATTTGTGTTATAGTCATTATTCCTAAACCTGCCTCTTAGGCAGGGTTCTGGGTTTTAGTATTGTGATGAGGGTGTGTGTGTGTTTTGGTCTGGTCTCTGAGTGTTCTTTGTGAATTTCGTTGTATGTGTACAAGTGTATATACATATACTATGTATATATGTTCA